GAATATTTATAATGCTATGTATTAATTTTGTCATTCTTCGCTTTATGTTTCTAATGAATTTATAGCCATCCTGTAATATGGAGACCAGAACTGAGCTGCATAGTCTAGGCGAGACCTTACTAATGATATTTAAAGCCGCAGTAAAGCCGCTGGACTTCAGTTTCTTACACTTCTTGATAAAAATCCTAGTAATCTGTTTGCTTCATTATGTACACTTAGGGATTATTACTATTAAATTTAAATAATAAAACGCTAAACTATACATCAAAGTTTGTATAGTAAAGTAGTTGCTGACAAAATAGAAAAGGGATCGTAAGTCAAAGTCAGGGCCGTCTGCAAGAAGAGAAGATAAGGTAAGAATGGTAGGGCGGCGTCGGAGGTAAATCCTGCGAGCTCGCTGGTAAACCAGACAGTCCACAAGAAAGTGAAGAACCGAAGTAGAGACCCGACAAAACTTGGAGAGAGAAATAGGGTGTCGTTCCATGAGATACCCATGGGTAAGGCGGTTATGGCCGATGCGGAGACGGGAGAGCACAGTCTCCGGAGTATGGCAACAGTGATATGAAGATGGCCACAAATCTAAAAGCAGTTTAATAGAGTGCAATTTGTTATGGTGCATGTCCGACCACTGTTGATACCAGCGGCTGCAAAGACAGGCAGAGATGACTGTAAAATAATCCCTGAATGGAATACCTCTATGGGAAACCGGAAGGTAATGTACCACTGACCTCGCAGCAGCATCCGCCTGTTCATTGCCCTGCACATCAACGTGTGCAGGGACTCAACAGAAAGCGTCTTTGTTTTTTCTAGAAACACAGTGCAAAGTTGAATACAAAGGGCCAATGGATGAGGGGACTCAAATTGTTTAATGGTCTGTAGAGCACAGAAGGAATCTGAAATGATCACAAATGCTGAAGGAGACATATATGTAATACGGAGAAGCGCTATGAGGATGGCATACAACTCGGCTGTAAAAATAGCGGAGTCTAACAAATGATCCCGGGCAACATCGTCAGGCAACACCCCGCGAACCGAACACCGTCAGAAGATTGAGAACCATCTGTATAAGCAGCGACGGCAAGCGCATGCGAGCGGAAGTGATCAAGAAAAAGAGAGTGAGAAGCAACCATGGGTAGGAGAGCTTTGGCTCATGGCAGTAGGGAAGCACACACGAACCGTCGGAACCTCTCAAGGGGAAGGGAAAAGGCAGACACTACATGAACATACAATGGGGGCAACTGGAGAGAAGACTGGAGTGAAAACAAATAGAAAACGGTCGGAGTAAGCAGGGGCACCGAACAAATAATGAGCTTCTACTAACGTCTGAGACTAACCTATACATACAAAGTAACGAAGGCAATGAGCATCACGACGATAGGCTAAGGAAGGAACATTCACCAAGGGATGAACAAAAGGCAAGAAGGCATAAACATAGACCCTGACAATGAAGGGGATCTAACTTAGAAAGAGTTGTAGAAGCCGCAGAATAGACTTGGTCACCATAATCAAACTAGGACAAGACTAGGGTGGAATGCAAACGGAGGAGAGTTCGGCGATCTGTTCCCCGTGAATGATGGGCAAGAATTTTAAGGAGATTCAGCCGACTATGGCAAGCTGCGTTCAAAGAGGAAATGTGAGGTTTCCATGTCAACCAGCAATCGAACAGAACGCCAATAAACTTGATCGTATCACATTCTGGAATACATGAGCCGTGTAAATACAATGGCTTATCTGGGACAAGAGGACGTCTAGAGTAGGTAATGAAATGGGTTTTCGCACAAGAAAATTTAAATCCAAGAGATGTGGCCCTATGGGAAACACTGTCAATCGTATTCTGAAGGAAGGCCGCTACCAGGCGACAGAGCCTGCATAAGCTATAGCGAAGTCATCCACATAAAGTGACGACAAAATATGTGATGGAAGAACGGAATGTAGATCATTTATAGCCAAGAGAAAACGGTAGTTCTAAGAACACAACCTTGTGCGACATCCTCGGCCTGAACAAAGTCTGAAGAAAGCGTGGTAGATTACCACGGAGGCCTAAGGAGTGGGCCTGGGCTAAGATGTTGTACCTCCAGGTGGTGTCATATGCCTTCTCGAGATCAAAAAAGACTGCTAGGACGGAGTGTTTATTAGCAAAGGCATTTCGCACATATGTATCTAAGTGGAGCAAGGGGTCCAGAGCAGAGCGGCCCTTGCGAAAGCCACACTGGCGAGAAGAAAGACTACAAAGACTATTGAGAGTCTCCAAATACCATATCAAAACTCTATTCACCAATCGTTCCATCACCTTGCAGACTACACTGGTCAGAGCAAGGGGACGATAGTGAGAGGTATCAAGCCCCGGTGCCTGGCTTGCGTAACCCTAGTACAATGACAGATTTCCATTGTCGAGGGAGAACCCCTTGCGTCCAAACAAGATTGAAAAGATGCAAAAGGACTGTAAGGGCTGTAGAATGCAAATGCTGTATCATACGGGTTTGGATATCATCGGGCCCAGCTGCCGATGACCGGCAAGCGGAAAGCGTGAACTCTAGCTATAAAAGAGGAGAAGGTATGTTGTATGGTTCCATCCCATTAGAAGAGAAATCCAAGGGCGATTGTTCTCTGGCAGACTTGGAAGCGAGAAACGAGGGACAGAGGTGAAGCCCGTGAGAGACAGGGACAACATAGTTCCCGATTTCTATGGCAACCTCAAGAGGTTCCGCAACACTAACACCTGCAACCCACAAAACGGGAGCTGGGTCCGGAGTGTACTTACCACACAACTTCCGTACCTTCTTCTAAACCGCACACATAGGGAAAGTCGAGGAACAGTAGAAACGTAGTCTTGCCAACAAGTGCGTTTAGCGTCGTGTATGACGCGGCGAGTGACTGCCCTTGCCCGCTTGAAATCTAAATGACGATCTTCGCTCCAATTATATCGATAACGGCCCCACGCAGTACGTTGCAAACGTACTGCAAGGGCACACGCAGGAAACCACCAAGGCACGCATGTCTGAGAATGCCTGCCTGAAGTTTGAGAAAAAGAACGTGATGCTGCAGTCAAAACTAAGGTCGAAAACTGGTGCACCAGCTCATCAATAGAGGACGAAAGGAGGTCCTCACCAAAGGTGGTAAGATGAGAGTATAAGTCCCAGTTTGCTCGTGCAAATTGCCAACGAGGGCTACGAGGCGGTCGGGAATACGTAGTAAAAGTATTCACTGTCGTGTAAATCCGGGAGAACAGACCAAGTGTAATCAAGGCAATTGACGAGGAACAGATAGAAACATCGATCTTTGTAGACATTTCGCCAACCAGTGACTTCATCAATATAACACAAGGATACAATGTGAAGAAATATATACAAAACATGAAGTATTCAGTTCCTCAGCCTTGGAGTTGGTGTAGAGCGCCGTAGTCATGGAACATTGTTACGGGCAGGCGGGAATTCCCAGTGGAAGTACGTTACATCCAAGGAATGGGCCAGTAGAAAGCAGAGTTGTGTAGATGTCCCCTGTACCAAGATTCCATCAACTCCAACATCATGTCCTTGTATTGTATTGATAAAGCCACTGGTTGGCGAAACGTCTAAAACTGAAGATATCTAGATGCTGCACATGTGTCTAATTCCTCATCCTGTCGGTATTGTTTATCATTTATATAGCTATACTTCTTGATACAAATCAAAGTAATCTGTTAGTCTTATTGCGTACACTTAGACACTGTTGTCTTGGCTTCAGATTTCTGGTTACCATGACTTTCTGTATTATTAAGCTCTACATCACCTAGTTAATAACCGAGGGTTATTTTCATTTACATAGACTAAGACTTTACACTCGTCCACACTCAACTGCATCTTCCACTTTTCAGACCATGACATTAATTTGTTTAAATCCTACTGACGTTCATTGTTGTCCTCATCATAATCTATTATTCGACCTATTCTTGTATCATCACCGAATTTACTTATGTCACTCGTTATTCCTTCAGTAACGTCATTAACGTAAATTATGAACAGCAATGGACCCAAAACTGATTCTTTTGGTACGTCATATATATTCGGTCCCCATTCAGACCTGACCCCATTAATGCAAACTCATTACTTCTTTCCTATTGGTCAGCCATGCCTCGACCCATGTTAGAACTTTACCTTCTATACCATGATCTGTCACTTTTCTTAATAGTCTTTTGTGAGGTACTCTATCGAAGTCTTTACTGAAATCCATGGTGAGACTCATTAATCAAATTATACTCATTCAGGTGGCTTCTAATAATATCATCAATAACTGATTCTATTAATTTGCCTGCTATTGACGTCAGGCTTATTGGATGGTAATTAAATGGTAATGACATTATCCCATGATTTAAATATAAGAACTACCTTAGCCATTTTGTACATCTCCAGCACAACACCGGTTTGGAAAGATGCATTAAACACGCTCTTTAGAGGATGACAAGTTCCCATTTGCACGCTTTGAGTACTCTTGTAAATAATCGGGGCCGGAGACTTACTTTGCTTGGTTTATTTGTTTGATAACTATGTCCTTCGTGATAGTAATATTACTTAACTTGCTTTCTTCAGGACCTGAATAATTATTGCTGTGATATCATTTATGTACTCTTGCTTGAAGACCAACGAGAAATAACCATTAAAAAGAGAACATTTCCCAGTTCTTAGTGGTCCTATTTTTTTTCCTAATCTTTGCTCTTGAAAGAACCCTATAGGAGTTGGCTTTGATTCTCTAGCTACTTTAATTTCATAGTCTCGTTTGACCTTCCTAATCCCCCCCCCTTTATTTTTTGCCTCATACAATGAACGTATTGTCAATGAGGTTAACCTTTCTAATAGATGCTTCAGTCTATCATTCATCCATTTGGAATAATTGCGATATATTTGGAACACAAAACACACCACACACACACACACAACACACAAAACACACACACACACAACACACACACACACACACACACACACACACAAACACAAACACACACACAAACACACACACACACACACACACACACACACACACACACACACACACACACACACACACACACACACACACACACACCTCCCACTGACCTCTCCTCCAAGCGAAAATAGATATGCAAATATGAAAAGTCTTTTACAAAACACAGAAGAATTTACAGTACTGAAGATTATCTCAAACTACAATATATTAATCTTGTCAGCATTGACTGTACAGTGTAGCCAGCCGGATGCTGCTACTGAAAATGATGATGGTGATGGTGATAATGATGATGATAATATTAATAGTCATGGTTATGCTGCAGCTGCATCTGCTGCTTCTGCTGTTGCTGCAGTTGGTATTCTTTCTGGTAATGATGATAATGATGATCATGCTGTTGCTCCTGATATTCTCGTTGCTGATGCTGCTGGTGAGAATTTTCGTGGCCGTCGTGGTTGTGGTACTTTTCTTGATAGTAGTGGTGATATTGTTGCTGTTGGTGATAGTGCTGGTTGGTGGTGGTGGTGCTGCTGACTGGTGGTGGTGCTGACTGGTGGTGGTGCTGTTGGTGATCACGTCTCTGACTTACACTGGTGCTCGTATGAATATCTGTGGTGTGGGTAGTTGTTTCCACCAGGATGAGTCACGCACTCTTTCTGTGGCAAGACAACAGGGCTTCTGTTAGGACAGATAAATATGGCTTCCCAAAATGCGGTGGACTCAGAGAGTCTGGCTTGCAAATGGGATAATGAGGCAACTACGATACACAACTAGAGAATACTGAGTTAGCTAGAAGATACTGAGTTAGCTAGGAGATACTGAGTTAGCTAGGAGATACTGAGTTAGCTAGGAGATACTGAGTTAGCTAATTGTTAATGAACATGAAAGATGTGAAACTAAGTTAATCATATTTGTTGGAAATTAGTGATATCCAAACACCTGCTGCACCTCTTCTCTAACTGCAGTATACGAGTCTTCATCCTTATGGCTCTTGTTTTAGGTAGATCAGGGTTAAGAAGTCGAACACCTATCAAAACTAAAGGAATGAACATCAGCCAGGTCTAAAGGACCTGATTAAGCTTTTTTCTATCAAAGCTAAGAGACTGGCTATGGTGTAAAACACTTACCAAAACTAAACCACTGATCCCCTTCTATCAGGGCTTACTGAACACACCTTCATCGACGCTAAGAGACTGAACAGTTTTAATCAAGGCTAATGGACTAAACACCCTAAAATTCTCTCTCTACTTCCTCCATTCTCCAGTATAGTAATTACTTAAGCATCAGCTTAAAAACAAGCCTGCCGCACAGGAGATAAGTGTTGTCACTGAAGATACCTGCAGCAGGTACTGCACATGTCTCATCCATCAAAGTGTCGCTACGTTATCGTTTATCATTAATTAATAAAACTTGTTTACCACACGCATGAAGAAACAACACAGGAGATAACTAGTAATGAACAGAAAAGTTTAAAACGGAGAGGCTTTAAGAAATACGTAAATAATGAAAGAAAATAAAGATTGTTTATTTAGAGGAGGTGCAAAAAAATGACCACACGTAATAAATTCGGAAAAAAATATGAATAGGGAGAATAAAAAAAATGTAACAGAAGACAAGACAGGAGAAATATACGACAATGGAGAGAATAAGAAAAAACGTAGTATATATGTAAGAATGAAAACTAAAAATAATGATGAAGCAGAAAATGCGTAGACAAATAAACAATTTTTTAAATCTTAAGATTTTATCAGTAAAATAAGAATGTTTTAAGCGAAAAAAAAGTTTATTAATTTTCTTGCATATAGTGAAAAAAAATTTAAAGAGGGAAAGACACAAGTTGCAGAACCGTCATTTATTCGCACACGTTTAACTCTGTGTAAAGTTAAACATTTCTCCTGCAGAGAGCAAAACGATGTCACAATACATCGAACACGTCTCTCTTTTTCACTACTGTCGACAGTAGCCACTGTGACTTCAATACAATTTCGATACGATAGATAAAGGAAGAACAGTGTGGAAAATATATGCAAGCCAGAATGTGTATAACAAAGCTGGATATACCTGGAGAGGGTTTCGGGGGTCAACGCCCCCGCGGCTAGGTCTGAGACCAGCATACATAAATTCCCAACTTAGCTATTAACATATTTATTATATATAAACAACAATGTCGTGTATATAAACATCACTATAGTAAGTTATTTAGTGTTTATTCTATATTTCACAATTTAAAGTAATATGTTTATTATAGTAATTTCCAGGATGAATAGGAGAAATGATTAATAAGCACGTAGCAACTGTATCTCAGGTGAGTAATTAAAGGAGTTAGAAGAGAAAAAGGACGTATAGTAAGCAAGCCTAAAGGTAACACGACTCGTTCTTACTAGACGACCTTCACTCCGGAGTTCTCCAGAAAAAAATATCTTGCCGCGTATATTAAATCGGTACTCACCAAGGTATCACTTGGTTCTTAAGTCTGATTGGAACTGGACTGCCTCGATTATGTCTCCTTCCTAGGGTCGAATCTGCCATTACCTCCTCCCTTCCCACCTTTCTACATTCGGTCTTCTTACTGGAGGATTTTTTCCCTCTGTGAATTTCAGGTTCCAAGCAGAGAAAAAAAGGGATCGTATACATTACAGTCGTGAGCCTCGGTGTAGTTTGCCGTGGAAACTGGATTATCTGGGAAAGTGCTGAACTGCCATCAGGGACCCCGGTGGGTAGCCTGGCGTGTCCTTGAATTACGAAAGTATTCCTGATGGCTGCTTTTCAACTTATGGAGGTGATAGCCGAAGGGGTACAGCTGTGCCTGGCTTGGAGGAGCCATCCTGGTGTACCGGGGATCTTGCATTACGCTATCTGCTGCTTCCTTCACTTCAGACATTTCTGAGGTCGTTACAGCCTTTTGTGAGATAAAACCTACGATGGACGTGGACCCGCTGGCCCCCACTTATTTTCTTATTCTCACCCTTTACAACCCCCTGCTTCTGCCTACATATTTCTTCTATAATTACCCACAAATGACGTATTTCTAATTTACCATTACAGTTATACACTAACTTTGCTAGTCACCCTGGCCCACCTCCACATCCTGATTTTTAATGTCTTTTTCTTACTGTTCACTAATAATGGCCTTATTGCAATCTTATATCAGAGGATACAGTGGAGCAACATTTGGATCTCGGGTAGACCTCCAAATGTCCTTTGCCCACTTTTTTCTTGTATCTGTTCAACGAAATATACATTACATTCCGTTGCTAAAATTTCTAACTCGAAGAATGAAGTGCTGTGATAGGTAGACAAAGTTATCCTTGTAATATACATAAATTAACATTTGACTGCCAAAAGCTTCCAACCTCGGTATATATAACGGGCGAGCGTTGGCAGGTAGGGGAATTAATCCCCTCACCACAAAAATGCAGAAATTCGAGGCCCTTTGGTCACCCAGCTAAATATTGCAGATCAATGGCAGAATGAACACTGTGTGTTGCAGCTGACCATAACAATCCATCCTGTAGCCGACCTTCCACTTGCCTCAACTATGGAGAGTCTGACCCTACATATCCTCACCGTTGTGAGATTTTCTTAAGACAAAGAAAGGTCCGTTGTCTTAAGGAGAAGTAGGATTTCTCTTAGTGAGATTTCCACATCTTTCCTTATCCAGAGTTGTCTGACGCTCTCTAACTTCCACAATCATCTCTGTGTCCACCTGTTATGCAGTTATTGCCTCTGATGTTCCTACTTCATAGTTTATTACCGTCTTTTGTCATCTCCTCACTCGCATGTTTCTCCACTGTACAACCTACCATGACTAAATCTTCGTTTTCTACTCTTACATCGCGTAAGTCCAAAACATTCCCGAAGTACAATATTCCTTCAGCCACTATATCGCATACCGCTCTCTCATACTTTACTTTTCCGACCTCTGAGTCTAGATCCTTCATAATACTTCAGTTACAGTTGTGGAAGTTCATCCACCGCCACTTAGTCGTTTCCTCTCCTGTCTCCACTCAAGTTTCTCCCTACCAGGATATCTCTCACCTCTCTTTGTCCTCGCCTCCTTTGGCAACTACCGATGTATCTCGACTGTTTACGCCACATCTTCCATCTCTTCAATCATACTTCCTGCAGCTTCCTTGTCAGCTGCAATAACTGAATCAAACTCAGCGTTTATTGTGGAAACAAAACGGATCATGGACACTGATACACCTCCCTAAACTTCACATTCTCACGTTCTACAATAGTTTCTAGCTAATTTACCACTACCCCCGACATCGACTTTACAGACTTTCCCAGTCCACAGACAACTCTTATATCCCGTTACTGGTATTCTTCTATTCTCAACTTACGGCTTTCTTATGGCAGAATATTAGAGGACTCAGGGGTAATCGAGAGGAACTTCAGGTGTTGCTGTTTCACTTCTGTGTTTACAAAAGCTAAAATTGCGCTCCACTGTTGACCGGCCAATCTCAGGTTTTACTTTAGTGTGATTACAAAGTCCTTTCACAAATGAGTCTTTTAATATAAGTGCGCTTCCTGTGCGCGCTAATGTACCTCATTTTCAGTTTTATGTTTGTACTTCGTTACATTACACTGCGGCTCGCCTCTACTTGAATGACTGGTATACAGTCTGCTCTTTGTAACTCTCCTTGACACCATCTGCTTGGGACTGATAGCGTTACAATAGAACCAGAGAAGCAAAACGGACTAGTTGACGAGATAGTTTCTGCTGTCTCTTCCACTGCTTCTATGAGAGCAGTTTGGAAAAAAATGTACGTAAGTTGAGTGGCAAGTATTCTTCAGACCCAACTCCCTTTCCAACGCTGGAGTCAGCCTCGCAGACCCTGCTGAGGTTGCCACAGAAATTAAACATCTTGTCTGTATATCTCGAGGGACAGATCTGTTACCCTTATTTTTTTTCCAAAACTGCCCGAGAGTTAAGCTAATACCTTTAGAATTTATCTCTAGCATAGAGGGATCTTGTAATTGCCTTTCATGGTTCGCGAACTCGTATCAACATTTTCCACCTGTCGACCGCCTGCAGCTGGGCCTGATGGAGCTCATATTTGTATGATTTAACATTGACGTCCTACGGGGCTCGGCATCCACCTACGTCTCTTTATCTTGTTTGGTCTCAAGGGGTTCATCCTGTCCAATGGAAAACCGCTATATTCTACTTTCTCATTAAGCCGGGAACTTCGGGCTATGATGCCTCTCACTATAGACACATTGCTCTTACTAGTGTTATTTGCAGGTTGTTGGAACGTCTCGTAAACAAACGTTTGGTGTGTTATTTGGAGATGCATAATTGTCTCTCTCATCATCGGTTTGGCTTTCGTAGGGAGGCCTATCCGCTACCCATGTTAGTAATGCCTTTGCTAGTAAATACCTGGTTTCTGCAGTCTTTTTTTAAGTCCGGGTTAACAATAAGTTTTCTCCAGACTTTGTCCAGGCCGAAGGTGTCTCTCAGGGTTGTGTTCTTGGCACCGCCATTATTCTGCTAGTCATCAATGACCTTGCCTCTATTTAGTTACCCTTTTATGTCGATGATTTTGCAATAGCTTGTGCAGGTGATGACTATCACTAGTGGCAGCCTCTCTCTAGAATGCTATCGACTTGTTTCCCATTGGGCCACCTCTCATGGGTTTAAATTCTCTAC